ATCTTTCTATACACTCATGAAGCCAGGAGGTGTTCATGACTAAAATGATCACAACCGTAAGAACCATAAATAGTAAAGGGTTAATTGTGTGACATATAGTTGTCACGTATACACCAAAGCTCGACGGTTCAAAGATATCACATCTACCAATTGACTGAGTATATGCGACATTTGTTCACTACTGAAAGTCCAAGGGGAAACCTACTTATCCAAATGCAATTAATTCTTGCTTGTAAAGTACACATACTTGTCCGTTTCTTTGTCTTGGAGTCATTCTCTATCCATACGGGGGATTTTTGGTTCTTCCAGAGTTTTTCAATGTATCGACTCGTATCCGCATCTCTGAGGGAGAAGTTCGTTCTGCTGCTCGCCTCGCCCCTTCGCTACACTCTAAAAGGTAAACTACTCCTAACTCTCTTGTTTGTTTAATTCTCCAGTAGATGTTGTCTTGAGTTGTTTTCGTGCTGCTTGTATGGGGGGATTTGAGGCTAATTCCGTTTTTAATATTCGTTTTACCTTTTCATGATATGGTAGCGAAGGTTTCGTTTTCAAAATGATTTAGTGTTTGTTGGTAAATCGTCTCTCTATTTTCTTTTGAATTTCGTGATAGTTGTCTACTCCCAGCCAGCCTTCATGTCCAGCAATTTATGATGGGTTCGACCTGCCTAATCTTTTCTTCTGATAATATTGTTCTCATTGAGTTTTGTTGCATGCCTTTTATTTCATTCTATTTTACTGTGAAGCATGCTAGAAATGCTATTAATATATCTGTTTAAGTCATGGTCGAGAATGGCACTGAGGCTACTTCATTCCCCCTTTTTGGTAGCTTGTTTTCTTACTGCTTGGGGGTAATCTGTTCATACCTTTTTAGTTTAATAATCAATGTTCAAAGATTCACTGCTTGATTGGTTTGAATTAATATACAAGTTAGTCATCTTGTTTTATATTTTATATTTTATTCTTGCTAATGTTTAAATCATTATTTTCAATTAAATTACTTGAAGCATGAGTTTGTTTGGCATTGACTACTGTGTGCATAATACATTTTTATTTATTTATTTATTTTTATGTAATGCTAAGGCTGGTAGTTAGTCATATGTTATAGGGATCTGGTTGTGGTCTGCTTATTGATTATTTGTTCCTCTGTGCAATTCTTATGTGAAATCCACTGGTTCAATGGTCATTTGCTCACCAATTAGCGACGATTAACCGAATTCTAATCTTAATTATAAATGATATTGTTGGTTCGATAATGTGAAGAATTAACAGTCGTAGACTAGTACTTTCAGTTTTCTTTAGGCGGCATGCTAGGTTTCTTCTTGTCTCCTTTTCTTTGTTATAGAGTATGCATGCTCATTTCTTTCATGAGAGCACCAATTTACCCTTCGATTGCTAATTAATTTTTTTTTATGACTCAAATTGATTCTTACAATATTTACATTTTTTGTGCATGGGAAATATGTCCGGGTCCTATGGGCCCCACCCTTGCATTTTTCTCTGGGCCATGGAGGCTCAATTCCATTCTTTCTACGAGTCGTCCAGCTGTAAATAGGTGTACAGGTCCTGAAGTTCAAAGAATTCGAAACGGGTTGAAGGGTTGAAGTTTTTGTGGTCAGAAGCTCACATTTTGTTTATTCTATGTCGTATTTTGTTATTTTTAGGCATGGCCCTTGTAAATTTACTTATTATTATTTCTGTTAGTTCTTAGGACAGGTACGATGGGTCTAAGGCTCCAAACAAAAAGGGGTTCAAATACCGATCCAGGCGGACAAAAACCGGATTTGAACCCAATTCTCTCTCTCTTTCTTTTACTTTATCGCTTATATGTTTGTTGTTATTCGTCGTTAGTTTTAAGGTCGAAACATTCAAATCCCCGCAAGACGTCGCCTCGTTTTAACCATTTAAATTAAATCAACCAAGTATAAATAAACTTAAATACTTAGGTTAACATTTCACTTCTTTAAAGATTTCTAAATAGATTCGTACTAATTTAGAGTTATTTTAAGCCAAACAAGTTAGTTGTTGGATAATCACGAGTTAGTAAATATTTTAGGTGCCGTAAAAACCTTCCTGAAATATAAATAAGAATCCCCGAACCCATTTAAAGTTTTCCATCGATTTCCTGTTTAAATCTTTTGAAAACTAAGTTTTCTTGATTTTTCTTTAAAAAATTAAGTGGCGACTCTAACAAAGTCTAAAAACAATATTAAATATTTTTCTTTTTTTCTTAAAAAAATACTAATTAGACTTAGAAAGTTGTTAAGTTGTTTGATAAGTTAAATTGGTGAATGTAGTGTTGGAATTAAGGTAAAACTAATCTAATTATACTTATAAGTTGTTAAATTCTTCAAATAAGTTAAAATATGTATTGTTCTTCATTTTATACTTAGATGAAGTATCTTTTACATGTAATCATAATTAGGAAGTGATTACTATACTTGACATACAATCAAGATCAATCGAAAGTACATAATAATACTATCCGCATTTCATATTCGAATGAATTATATGTTAGCTCTTCATCTCTACATCATAACATAAGATATTAAGTTCATGATTAGACGATGGACTGATAGATTATTACATTACTATAGAAATATAAGTATAATTATATATCCTAATTTATATCAACGTAGTTTCATACTCTAAATATGAATTATAGATATTTTTTATTTATTCCACAAATTAACTTTTTATTTATAAAAGTATACAAAATTGTTACATTTTTTGAACAATGAATTGTATGTTTCAAATGAAATTTTACTATTATGCTAATAGCAAAAATTATGATTAATAACAATATTTTAAACAAACCGACCTCCGCATGTCGCTTTTATTAAAAGTAATTAGATAATAAAAAAAATAACGATCTCATGACGTCAGTATCACATTCAATTTTTTGTTGAATAAAAAGTAATAATATTAATTAAATAATATTGACATCGAGAAGTCGGTATTTTATGTTAATTTATTTTTTAACTTATATAAAAATGTAATCCGGAGACGATTTATTTAAATTTAATTGAAAATATTAATTTTTTGAAAGACACGATATAAATATTTAAATTAAAACTAATTTAATTGCACAATATTTAATTATACCTATTTTCAAAAGTAGTTATTATAATATTAATTTTATTGTTTATCTTGCGCAAAATCGTCCTCATAAAGTCGGTATTTGGATTTCAATGAAATAAAAAAATAACGACATGCAATCGGTATTTGGATGAAATAAAACTACCGACCTCATGAAGTTGGTATTTGAATGAAATGAAAATGCTGACTTCATGAGGTCGGTATTTGGATGAAATAAAATTACCGACGTCATGAGGTCTGTATTTGGATGAAGTAAAATACCAACCTCATGATGTCGGTATTTGAATGAAGTAATAATACCGACCTTATGAGGTCGGTATTTGGATTTGGATGAAAAAATTACCGACCTCATGAAGTCGGTATTTGGATGAAATAAAAATACCGACCTCATGGGGTCGATATTTGACGAAGTAAAAATAACAACCTCATGATGTCGGTATTTGGATAAAGTAAAAATACCGACATCATCAGGTCGGTATTTGGATTTGGATGAAATAAAAATACCGACTTTATGAAGTCGGTACTTGGATGAAGTAAAAATACCGACCTCATGAGATCAGTATTTTATATAATTTATTTTTCAATTTATATAAAATCGTCATCCGGAAAATAATTTATTTAAAGTTAATCAAAAATATTAATTTATTAATCTTATGGAAGTCATTATATAAATATTTTAATAAAAATTAATACAATTCTATATTGTGTAATTTTACCGACTTCGGATATCGGTATTATAATTGTTTGTTTTTTATTTTACATAAAATCGTCCTCCAGAAGAAGATTTAAATGGTATTAAATCAAAATATTTCTCAATTTTTTATTTATATTTAATTGGATAAAAATAAAATATGGTTATTCATTTATTTTATTTTATACCGACATCAAGAGGTCGGTTTTAATTGTAATTCATTTTTCCGCAAAATATAATGACCTTCTCAGGTCAAAAAATTTCCCCGCATTATTTTGCATAAAAACTGACTACTTGTAGTCATCTTTATAAATTTTTTGTAATTTTTTATTTGTTTTAACAATACTAACCTCCGGAGGTCGAAAATTATCGACCTCCATTTGAGGTCGATAATTTTTAGGTCGGTATTCAATATTTTTTTAGTAGTGAAAGATCTTGTGCAAGACTTGCTAAAATAATTGTGTTAAATTTGACAAGATTAAAGAATGGATTAATGAAAAGATATCGTAGTTAGCAGAATAATTCTTCATTGGTAGAAAAGTCAAAGATAACACGTTTTGTAGGTGAAATTTAGGTGAACAATAAATTAGTTTCACAAGGTAAATCTTGACATTTAGACATATTGTGATTTCATGGATGACATCAATAGGAAGAATTCACTCCTATAAATAGGTAGCTCCTAATTCATTTGTAACACACCTCTCACTTGCCTTCTCATCTCCTAAGTCATTTGTTTTTCTTTCTCTCTTGTTGTATTTCACTTGAACTCTTTTGAGGCGAAATAAATATTGGTTGGTTGTATACGAGGATTAGGCAAAAGAAAACAAAAGTTTACCGAACCTCGTTAATTCCTGATGTTCTTTTTATTGTTGTCTCATTTACCATTTATTAGCTACCTTTAGATATAGTAGTTGTGATTTCATCACTCTCTACATATTCGGCTTTTGCAACAATTGGTATCAGAACCAAGGTATTATCTAAGTATGGTCTGTGGTTGCAGCATAGTCTGAACTTCCACATCAGAAAAAGATTTACTTTGGTCTTTGCATTGTTAGCTAGTAAATAGTATTTGTAGTAAAATGGGAGACAAGAAAAATGATGATTCCACATCGAGTGTCAATAATACGTCATCATTGGCATCCTCGCTTATGACAAGAATTGTGTCAAATGCGAAATTTGCAGTTGAAATTTTAACGGGTCAGGACATTTTAAAATGTGGCAAGGCGAGGTCCTTGATGTTCTTTTTCAACAAAGGCTAGATATTGCCATTGAAGAAAGGAAACCAGATAGTGTAGGGGAAGAAGATTGGAAGATTATAAACCGTGTCACTTGCGGTACCATTCAATCTTACCTTGCAAGAGAACAAAGGTATCCATACACGAAGGAAACATCTGCAAATAAATTATGGAATTCATTGGAGGAAAAATTCTTGAATAAAAACAGTCAAAATAAACTTTACATGAAAAGAAGATTGTTACGCTTCACTTATATTCGTGGTAGCACAATGAATGATCATATCACCAGTTTTAATAAGTTGGCAACAGACTTGCGGAATATGGACGTGACTTTTATGGATGGAGATATGGCCTTAATGTTGTTAAGTTCACTTCTCGATGAGTTCGAGCATCTTGAAATGACTCTACTGCATGGGAATGATGAAGTATCTCTCAAAGAAGTTTGTTCTGTCTTATATAGTTATGAATAAAGAAAGAGAGAGAAACAAAAAAGCAGAGAAGCAGAAGCATTGATTGCGAGAGTCATTCTCAAAATTATATGAGAAAGAAGAAAAGGATATCCAAGTCAAGATCCAGACTCAGCAAAGATGAATGTGCCTTTTCCTGAGAAAAAGGGCACTGGAAGAAAGACTTCCCAAAGTTGAATAACAAAGTCAAACCAAATAATGGGAAGTTTGTCATGGATTCAAATGTGGCTGATTGTGATGACTCCGATCATTCACTAGTTATGACAGATCCATGTAAATCATCGATTTATGATTGATGGACTCCACTTGTAGCTATCATATGTGTCCCAATCGGGATTGGTTTGTTGATTTACAAGAAGGAGAATATGGAGTTATTCACACCGCAAACAATAATCCTCTTACCGCATATGGTATTGGTTCAATCCGATTAAGGAACCATGATGGATTAAGTTAAACATTAATACATGTTCGATATGTACTAGATTTGAAGAAAAATCTCATTTCTATTGGAGACCTAGAGTCAAAGAGGATCAAAGTCATTGCAGATAATGACATCATGAGAATATGCTCTGGTTCACTGGTGGTAATGAAGGCAATTCGAAGAAATAATAACACGTACCACTGTCAGGTAGTACAGTTATTGGGACAGCGGCAACAACATCCAATGACGAGAAGGAGGCAGAAATGACCAAGTTGTGGCATATGTGCTTGGGACATGCTGGAGAAAAATCCTTGAAAACTTTATCAGATCAAGGATAGCTAAAAGGAGTAAAAACTTGCAACTTAGAGTTTTGCGAGCATTATGTCAAGGGAAAGCAAACAAGGGTTAAATTTGGAACATTTATTCATTATACTACAGGTATTTTAGATTATGTTCATTCAGATGTTTGGGGTGCTTCCAAAACACCTTCCGTAGGTGGAAAACACTATTTTGTAACCTTTGTTGATGACTTTTCTTGAAGATTGTGGGTATATACGATGAAACAAAAGATTAAGTATTGTGAATTTTTCTCAAATGGAAGGCGATGATAGAAACTCAAAGTGGCAGAAAGATCAAGTGTCTTCACACAGACAATGGTGGAGAATACATAAATGATCTTTTCATAAAATTTGTGAGAAAAATAGCATCGTCAGAAATTTCACCGTAAGAAATAAACCACAACAAATGGAGTGGCAGAACGCATGAACCGAACTTTGCTGGAGAAGGTTCGATTATGTTGTCCAATGCTGGCTTGGGCAAAGAATTTTGGGCTCAGGCAATAACATATGTCTGCCACCTAATTAATCGTCTACCATCTGCTGCTATTGGCGGGAAGACACCATTTGAAAAATGGTATGGAAAATCTGATGAAGATTGTGGTTCTTTATATATATTTGGCTCAATTGCATATTATCATGTAAAAGAATCAAAATTGGACCCAAGAGCAAAGAAAGCTTTATTTATGGGAATTACTTCTGGAGTCAAAGGATACCGTTTATGGTGTCCAGAGACAAGAAAAGTTACTTTCAGTAGGGATGTTATCTTTGATGAATATGCCTTGACAAATATGGTAAAAATTGAAGAAGTCAAACAAATTGATGGTGCTTTAAAGCAAGTGGAGTTTGAAGGAAAGACAATTTTCCCAACACAGGGATCAAACGAGGAAACAACAGAAGATTTTCCTCTAGAAGGAGAGCTAGTCGAAGAGGAGGTTCCATATCAAGAACCTCAACAACAACTTGAATCAATAGCATCCGGCAATCCAAAAAGGACAATAAGAAAACCTACTCGACTCATAGATATGGTGGCTTGTGCGGACTCAGCTGCGGCTGATGACATTCCTACCACTTATAAAGACGCAGTCCAAAGTTTAGAAGAAGATAAGTGAAGAATTGCCATGGATGAATAAATGCAGTCCCTTCATCAGAATCATACATGGAGATTGACCAATCTCCCGGAGGGTAAGAAAGCAATTGGGTGCAAATGGATATTTGCAAAGAAAGAAAGATTTCCTAACCAAAAAGATGTTCTCTACAAAGCAAGATTGGTGGCCAAAAGATATGCTCAAAAAGAGGGAATTAATTATAATGAGGTATTTTATCCAGTTGTGAAACACTCCTTCATTAGAGTTTTGTTGTCTTTGGTAGCACAGTTGAATTTGGACTAGTTTAGGTAAAAACTGCATTTTTACATGGAGACTTGGAAGAGAAAATCTACGTGACTCAGCCAGAAGGATTCAAAGTTGATGGAAAAGAAAATATGGTGTGCAAACTTGAAAAATATTTGTACGGATTGAAACAATCTTCTAGACAATGGTACGAACGATTTGACAAGTTTATGTTGCATCAAAGGTACATAAGAACCAAATACAATCATTGTGTGTATTTACGCAAGCTTGAAGATAATTCCTTTATATATCTTCTCCTATATGTTGATGATATGTTGATAGCTTCTAAGAGTCAAGAGGAAATTGAGAAGCTAAAAATTCAACTAAGAAATGAGTTTGAGATGAAGGATTTTGGTGAGCAAAGAAGATTCTTGGCATGGGGATAAAAAAGAGATAGACATTCAAAGAAACTCTATTTATATCAAAAAGAATATTTGAAAAGAGTACTTAACCGATTCGGTATGAATGATAAAACGAAATCGTTTAGCACTCCACTTGCTCCTCATTTTAAACTTATTGATGCTATGCCACCTAAGAATGAAGATGAATGAGAATATATGTCAAAAGTTCCATATGCGAATGCTATTGGTAGCTTGATGTATGCAATGGTTTGCACAAGGCCAGATATTTCACATGATGTTGGAGTTGTAAGCAGGTACATGCACAATCCTGGAAAGGATCATTGGCAGGCTGTAAAATGGATTCTACGGTATATTCATAATACTGTAGATGTTGATTTTGTTTTCGAGAAAAAATATAGTCAATATCTTGTTGAATATTGTGATTCAGATTATGCAGGTGATTTGGACAAATTAAGATCAACTACTAGTTATGTTTTCACTATTCAAAATGCACCAGTTAGTTGGAAGTCTACTTTGCAGTCCATAGTTGCTTTGTCTACCACTGAGACAGAGTACATGTCAATTACAGAGGTTGCGAAGGAAGCGATTTGGGTTCAAGAATTGCTTAGAGAGCTTGGTATTGGACAAAAAAGAATCACAATATTTTGTGATAGTCAGAGTGTTATTCAATTAGCAAAGAACCAAGTTTATCATGCAAGGACGAAGCACATTGACATCCGATATCATTTCATACGAGACATCATAGAAAATGGTGGAGTCATAATGCAGAAAATTCATACTACGGATAATCCTGCCGATATGTTGACAAAAGTGGTGAATGTGGTCAAGTTTCAACATTGTTTGAACTTGATCAACATTGGTGAACATTGAAGATTGAGGTTGAAGACACAATCAAATTGTTGTTGAGAGAAAGTTGAAAATGGAGAATCTTTCCAAGGTGGAGATTTGTTAAATTTGACTAGATTAAAAATGGATTAATAAGAAGATATGGTAGTTAGCAGAATAATTCTTCATTGGTAGAAAATTCAAAGATAACATCTTTTGTAGGTGAAATTTAGGTGAACAATAAATTGGTTTCACGAGTTAAATCTTGACATTTTGAAATATTGTGATGTCATGGATGACATTAATAGGAAGAATTCACTCCTATAAATAGGTAGATCCTAATTCATTTGTAACACACCTCTCACTTGCCTTCTCATCTCCTAAAACATTTGTTCTTCTTTCTCTCTTGTAGTATTTCACTTGTACTCTTTTGAAGTGAAACAAATATTGATTGGTTGTGTCCGAGGAGTAGGCAAAAGAAAACAAAAGTTTACTGAACCTCTTTAATTTCAAATGTTCTTTTTTTTGTTGTCTCATTTACTATTATTAGCTACCTTTAGATATAATAATTGTGATTTCATCACTCTCTATATATTCAGATTCTGCAACAAATTGTGTATTGCATTTGCCCTCATTTAGTTCCATGTTTTTTCACAATGTTTAAATAATTCTATGTATTGCATATTTTGTAATAAAAGTTGGAATAAGAACGACCCCCAATTCTCATTTTTTAAAGATGTTAACCACTTCTTTGTCATCTCCTATCCAATTTTCTATGATTCCATTACGGCGAAGTAATTTCACATCTTTCTCTGAGGTGATAAAATGATTCATGAAAGTTGCATAATCACTAAAATATGTAGAATGTACATCAGAAGATTGCAACTCATAAGCAATGAGATTTTGTAGGAGGGTTTCGTTAGGAGATGAAGCCTTTTGAGGACAAAAAAAGGAAGTTGGTTTTCTAGTAACAAGTCTCCGAATATTTGATTATATTTGTAATCAACTAAATTGACAATTTTATCTTCTCTTTATTACCAATTCCCTCCAATAAACTCAATCATAAAACAACTATCACCCAATAAAACTTTGCAAAATTCATCAGTATCGAGGACTTTTATATCGTCATCCATATCCTCCAATTTATTGATCCAATATTTCACATCTAAACTCTCTCTTCGTTGAAGAAACTGTTGTAGGTAAAATAATTTGCACTCTTCCTATGGTTAGGACCAATAGAGACTATCTTTGGTGTATAAGCATTTGGATTTGATTTACGTAGCTGCACATTTACTTTGAATATGGTACTCCATTTGTGAAATGATTTGTCCAAATTCTCAAACAGTTTATCAAAGATTTGATTTACACATTTCTTTGTTTGCGACCCTAATGGATCTTCATCATTTGTTTCCTTTATATGCACTTCCCTTCCTTCTTCTATCTGTAACTAATTAAATAGATAAGAAATTTTAAAATGTTTATGAAAAATTTTCCTGTGACTTTGTATAAAATTTGAGCAAGCACAATTAAGGTCGGCATGGGGTTAAGGATGTGAGGGTAGTGGGGATGAGGACTATGGGATTGGTACATAGGCGTATCCATAATTTTAATAGGTGCATTATATATTTTCTTTGAATTGGAGAGAAGAACCCATTTTGTGCAGTTGATTTTCCTTTTTAAGAATCTGATACAAGAATTGACAATATGTCTGTTTCACCATACTTGCCTTCAAGGGTGGGCATTCAATTTTTGATTTTGGATTTTCGAATGAAGAAATGATAATAAGATCATCACCACACACATAAAATACATATTAACATTCAACTAGAAAACTCAATACAAAAGGGGGACATAAAATTAATTAACTCATAATAAGATCATCAACACACATATAAAATACATGGATGGAGTTATGAGGAAACACTAGAATTGAGATAATTACTTGTTAAGAGGACCTGTGAAAGCCAGAATAGTTTGTATAGTTGTGAGTATGAGGAGTATGATGGCTGCGACTGTTGAAGCTCCTACCCAAGGACTACTAAAATAATTGTGCTTCAAATTTGCCTTCGCTCTGTTCCATGGTTTTTTACTATATTCATTTGCTTGTTTGAATCTCTCAGCGTAATAAAAGTTGTGATCCATGATTATGACCCCATTTCCGAGTTTGTTGCTTAGCCACTTTTTTGTCGTCTCCTGTCAAGTTCACTATGATTCCTTTCTGGCAAAGCAAATTCACATCTTTTTCTGAGTCGATAAGTTGGTCCATGAAAGCAGCATAATCACTGTGTTGTGCGGAATTTGAGATAATACGAGAAAATATAAACGCGAAAAACAAGACAACAGATTTACGTGGTTCACCAATAAATTGGCTACGTCCACGGGGAGAGAGGGAACACTTTTATTATGGAGAGGCAAAAACAGAATTACAAAATAGGGCTTGCCATAGCGTCTATATATATATATAGTGCTAAGCTACGCCCTAACAGGCTTGGGCCCAACATACAGAATTGACAGAAAATTAAGGGCCCAATACAACAACATTGTATACCGTCGGGCCGGGGGCGTCTCCACCTTGACTTGAATTCAAGGCATTCAACAAATCTCCACCTTGACTTGAATTCTCTGAACAGATTCTTCAGATGCACTATGATAGTGCCAGGCCTCCCCCTCTTCCTCAGAGTTGCCCCGCAGGGCAATTAACAGCTTCTGATGTTGAGCAAGTCCAAACAGTGTTGAAACTTGCTCTGTGGAACCGGCTTTGTGAACATATCAGCAGGATTATCAGCAGTTCTTACTTTCTT